ATATGCCTGGGTTGCAGGCTCGATCCCCAGTATGGGGTATGCAGGAGGCAGCCAATCAATGATTCTCTCTCATCATTGATGTTTCTATCTCTCTCTCCCTCTTCCTTCCTCTCTGAAATAAATAAACTCAATAAAAATATTTAAAAAAAAAAAAAAAAGAGCTCGGGCTCTGGAGTCAGACTGCCTGGGCTTAAACGTTGTCTCTCTCATGTGCCTGGGCAACACTTGACCTCTGGGCCTTGATCTCCTTTTCTTTAAAGTAAGAATGATACAAACACATGCCTCAGAGTGAGGAGTGAATAATACCACATGCAGCACTTAGCGGTACCTAGCAAAGAGCGAGCACTGAAGTTGGCCAGTTCGTGTATAGTAACAACTTACAATTTGTCCTGGAGAAGAAATAAGATACAATTCCTGCCGGAGACCTGGGCAGTGTGGTTAAGAGCAGGAACAGGAAGTCGGTATGATGGGGTCTCAGAGGTGGGGCCCCTAACATGGGTGGGGAGGGACAGGAACGGTTTTCTGTGGGAGCTGCGGCTGAGTGTTAGAGACGGGAGCGCGGGGAAGAGCCAGCACGGCATGTCTAAGGAGCCTCAACGGCCGTGTTGCTGGAGCCACAAGTGTGATACAGAGAGGGATGGGGAGGGGCCAGGGCAGGACACGCAGGCTTCCTGTGCCACGGAGGAGCCAAGGTTGGGCCTGAGAGAAGAGGGAGCCTGGGGAAGGGCTTTCAGCCAGGGGCACGGTCAGGCGGGTGTCCCGATTAGACCAGGTGAGGTTCTGTGGACTGTGTTTGCCTGGCTCTCCCTCAGCAAGGAGAGACTGCCCTATGTTAGTCTATCTTGAGTAGTCAAGGAATCTGCTCTAACCGGGCCAGAGCCAAAAGCCATTCCCAGTGACCATATCCTGTGAACCACAAGTATTGCCAACCACTGAGAGGCGCCTCACCATACGTACAATAGGATACGCTCAGAGACAACGCTGAACCCTGTGACAGCAGACTGTCACACTCACTTCCGCATCTCTAGGCGCAGATGCACATTTAGCAAGTGTTAGATGAATGCCCATCCATGATCTGAAACTTCTCTGCGCATCCCTGAGGCCCTTGTGGGACCACCAGCCCCGGACCCAGCACCCAGCTGGGTGTGCATGGCCCAGGCCCAGGGTTGTAAAGAAAGGGGGTCAGATTGGCCGAGTTTGTCATGTTGTTGTTTGCTTCTTGAATTTTTCTTTTTGTTTGTTTGTTATTTGTCGTTGTTGTTAATCCTCATCCGAGGATATTTTTCCATTGATTTTTAGGGAGAGAGAGGGAAAGACAGAAACATCGATGTGAGAGAAACACATCAATTGGTTGCCTCCTGCATGAGCCCCGACCAGGGCGAGGGGTGGGGAGGAGCCTGCAACGAAGGTATGTGCCCTTGACTGGAATCGAACCCAGGACCCTTTGGTCCGAAGGCCGACGCTCTATCCACTGAGCCAAACTGGCTTCTTGAATTGTTCAACGTAACTGGATGAATTAGGATTCCAAAGACCAGCCTTCCAGCTCCTCCTCCACTAGGGTGAGCTGGGAACCTCAGAGCCTCCAGCTGCAGTATGTGAATCTAGGGCAGCGGTTCTCAACCTGTGGGTCGCGACCCCTTTGGCGGTTGAATGACCCTTTCACAGGGGTCGCCTAAGACCATCCTGCATATCAGATATTTACATGACGAGCAACATTACAGTTGTGAAGTAGCAACGAAAATAATTTTATGGTTGGGTCACAACATGAGGAACTGTATTTAAAGGGCCAGAAAGTTGAGAACCACTGGCCTAGGCCCTAGGGTGTGACTGGTGACTTGCCGTGCTGACTGGCTTGAAAAACACTGTGTCTGTAATCCCGTTGTCTATTGAACAGCTTTCCTCCTTAGCCTCTCAGGCTTGATGTGATACAAGCCCAAGGGCGTAGGCTTCATAGTCAGACCTTGGTAGCTGTGGGAAAATCACATCACCTATAAAAAGGGGTAATTCGGCCTGCCCTGATTGTTCAGCAAAGCCTATAAAGAACGTAACAGCCCTAGCCAGTTTGGCTCACTGGATAGAGCATCAGCCTGGGGACTGAAGGGTCCCAGGTTCGATTCCAGTCAAGGGCATGTACCTTGGTTGCAGGCACATCCCCAGTAGGAGGTGTGCAGGAGGCAGCTGATCGATGCTTCTCTCTCATCAATGTTTCTAACTCTCTATCCCTCTCCCTTCCTCTCCGTAAAAAATCAATAAAATATATATTTTTTAAAAATAAATAAAGAACGTAACATCGCCTGGCGCTCGATGATGTGAGGCTATAGGCAAAACATAAGCCCGCTGAGCTTCAGCAGGAGACAGCTGATCGATGTTTCTCTCTCATCGATGTTTCTAACTCTCTATCTCTCTCCCTTCCTCTCTGTAAAAAATCAATAAAATATATATTTAAAAAATAAATAAAGAACGTAACATCGCCTGGCTCTCGATGATGTAAGGCTATAGGCAAAACATAAGCCCGCTGAGCTTTGCTCTCTCGCTTGTAAAGTGAGGAGGGATAACAATACCCACTTTATAGGTCGCCAAGCATTAGTGCATTTAAATGCCGAGCACAGACATTCACACCAGGAGCAGGTCTTCAGGATGACCCCTGCCTGCTGCTGTCTCAGCATTGAAGTGACTGAGCATCAGGGTCAACTTGGCAAAGAATCAAAACTCAACAATCCCAACGTCAGTTGAGAACTAACTTCCAATTTCCTGTCTCCGTCACCTCCCACTCCCAACCTGGGCCCCAAATATCAGTCCATCCAACCCCCTGCAGATAGGGCGCCTCAAATGGAAAGTGGGAACTGCCACCGTGGATGAGCGCCCGGGACAGTCTCAGTCCCAGCCAGGCTGGCTGAGCATGGACCTCACACGCAGAACTGGGGACGTGCACGTCAGCGCTCCCAGCCAGCTGCTCGGAGGCAGGGACCGTGGCTGCTCCTGCATCTCCCTGGCTCTGTCTGGGGTACTGGAGGCCGAAGTCTGCCCGGGAGCTGGGCTGGGGTAGCGCAGGCTGGCTTCCCTCCTTTTCCATCACTTTGACCAGATTTATTCATGAAATCCATGCCAAGGACTAAACTCTGATACATTCCCACTGAATACCCCTCACCCAGGCAGTTCATTCATTCTCTACTGAAACCTGGACCCAATTACACAGCAGAAAAGACAAGGACATGGGGGTGGATGTGTTCAAGGCGCCCAGAGGGCATGCCCTTGGGCCACCCTCTCCCCCCAAACACCTGCCCCGCCCCTGACACCCTATGTCAGTGGTTCTCAACCTTCCTAATGCCGCGACCCTTTAATACAGTTCCTCATGTTGTGGTGACCCCCAACCATAAAATTATTTTCGTTGCTACTTCATAACTGTAATTTTGCTACTGTTATGAATCGTCATGTAAATATCTGATATGCAGGATATATTTTCATTGTTACAAATTGAATATAATTAAAGCATGATCACAAAAATAATATGTAATTATATATGTGTTTTCCGATGGTCTTAGGCAACCCCTGTGAAAGGGTCGTTCGACCCCCAAAGGGGTCGCGACCCACAGGTTGAGAACCGCTGCTCTATGTGAAACCAGGGCCCTAACACCTCACTGGACACCAGCCCTGCGAAGTGGGCTCTCACCACTCACGCCTGCTCCTTCACAGTAGCCGCCTCTTCATAACTTGGGGCACAAGTGTCTTGCGGGGTGCTCCGGGAGCACTGAGGGGATGGGCCCCACTGCTGGTGAGGATGATGGATGGGGAGCTTTGGAAACAACTTCAGACCCAGCGCTTACTAGCATTGTGCCCCCGGCCCAGTGAACAGATCTGGGGTTACTCCCTCATCCGGAAAACGCAGATCCCATGAGCCTGCAAAGGTTCTGTGAGGATTAACTCAAGGTTCAAGAGCACACACTAGTACAGCACTCTTACTCACTGAATGTGAGTCTCCTCCCTGCTGTTCAACACCCCACCCCAACCCTCTCCCACTGCTCAGCTTTCAGGATGTCAGAACAGAGTTCTTCAGGCGTGGAGGGCCGGGATGCCCTCCAGGATGGCCCTCCTGAGCTGGCCAGACTCAGGCCCCCAATCTGGGGGAGCCCCAAACCCAGGCCTCCAGGTCTCTAGTTCATTCCATCACGGTGGGATTCCCTTCCACCAGGGGAGCCTGGGCCTAACCAATGAGCCTTACTGACAAAGCAACAGGCTGACACTTGGTTGGAAGATGTTTAATTTGTGCTGTCCACGCTGGACACCGAAGTGGTGTCAGCCCCTGAGAGCACCCCTCCTCCCCCGCAAAAGGAGGATCGGGAGAGAATGAACATTCGGCGCAGGAAGGGAGAAAAGAGCTGTGTAGGAGACCTCTGACCACTTCTCTTCCACTCACCAACAGGAGGGGCAGGTGGGGGGTGAAGGCAACGAAGAGGGGGGCGATGTGATTACACCCGAGGCATGTCGACTTTTCACTGCGGGAGAGGGAGCCGGGACAAGGCTGCTCAGGGTGCTGGCTGGTGAGGCTGGGCGAGAAGCTAACAGCCAGAGGCGGGGCAGCAGCACCCTTATTGCTTCCTGTGGAAGGTGAGGCCTTGCAGCTCCCCTCAGGCAGGGAAAGCCAGTCCCATCAGGTGGGGGCAGCAGAGACACCAGGAGGGGGGCAGCCAGCTGGCCGTCCTCGCCCCAGCTGCTGGGGCCGCCGAGCCCACCACTCCCACCCCCAGGTGACCGCTCTCCGCTCTGCTGCTCAGAGTCGTGTCCTGCTCGGGAGAAGCAGACGCTGGACTTCCGTCTCCTGTCCTGACGCACAGGTGCACGCATTTAGGAGGCAAGCAGTGAGGGGGAAGGGCCACAGTGACATGTCCAGCCTTACAATTTTCTCCTGGGGTGTGAGCAAAAGGAAGAGAGACCCAGACAGTCTCTCCAGAGGCAGCTCCGAGAGGCGTGTCACACTGAGCCCGACCCTGCCTGCTTAGGAGGCAAGCAGTGAGGGGGAAGGGCCACAGTGACGTGTCCAGCCTTACAATTTTCTCCCGGGGTGTGAGCAAAAGGAAGAGAGACCCGGACAGTCTCTCCAGAGGCAGCTCCGAGAGGCGTGCGTCACACTGAGCCCGACTCTGAGTCACTTAAGGCTCAAGTCCACAAGAATCAGAGTCACCAGAAAGGACCCGAAGACACGGGGCACGAGCTGAAGATCACTGGCTCTGGCGCCGGAGCGATGAGGTGCTCACAGTCGCACTTGGCGGGCTCCGGGGAGGGAGGCCAGGCCAGCACACCCACCCAGGGCGGGCTTGGACTCTCCTGTGCTGGGAAGGGTTCCCTCTCAGGTTGGAGTGTGAGGTCTGGACGGCTCCCCCACTCCCTCCCTCAGTCATACCTGGAGATAGCAGCTGCCCCACCCCTCCCCCCCATACTCTTCTAAGGCCTTGAGATAAAACCCCTGAAAGGGGAGAGCTTCCTTTCATGTAACCGTGGGGCTTCGAGACTGTCAGCTGTTGTACAGGGGAATCACCCGGGTGATCTCCTGCCGGCAGATGGGGCACTTCTTGGGCTCTGGCAGCGCCTGGTAGCACTCGGTGCAGGCACACACGTGCCCACACTCCAGGAACACGCAAGACTTGAAGTTGCTCAGACACACGACACAGGTGCTCTTCAGACTCTCCCTGTCCTCGGGCTTGGCTTGGCTCAGCAGCTGGGCCTCGTGCTCCCGGAACTCCTTCTCCATCTGCTTGAGGCGCAGGCGCTCCTGCCACTGCAGGTACTGCTTTCGGAGGATGAAGAAGAGGGTCGCGCAGGCGGCAAAGCCAAACACCAGCGTCAGGACCTTCCAGAGCCTGACGCTCGACTCCTGCCTCTGCAGCAGGCTGTCGAAGTCCTGGCTGCTCAGATAGTACTGCATGCCCTGCTTGGGGGGCTGCAGGCGGACCGAGTTGTTGTCCAGGACCAGTTCACCCACCCCCGTGAGGGTGGCCCCAACCTTCAGCATCTCCTCGGTCTCCTGGACGCCCTTGGGCCGCTCCCCGCTGATGTAGTGGCCGATGGCATCAGTGAAGGACTGTATCGACGGGTGGAACTTCTCATACACAGTCTCCAGGCCCAGATCCACGGAGTCCAGCGGCTTCAGCACCCGCACGGCCACACCCACGCCCTCCTCGTGGGGGACCAGGTCAAAGGGCACCGTGTTGGTCCTCTGGTGAATGATCTTTGAATAGTCATTCCTAAAACAATAAGAGAACTCAAGATAAAACAAAGGACAAGCAAACACCTCCCGCCCAGGAAGAGATGGAGGTCGCATACATGCCAGAGGACACGGTAAAATCTGACGCAGCTAGAAGAGGACAACAGAAATAAATATTATCCAAGTGCCTCAATTTGTTAGGTTCTCAGGCGATCAGTGGTTAACAAATACCATCATAGATCACCTCTACCATCTATTTCCTTTAGCCACTTTAAAATAAATAGCCAATTCTTTAAAAAATTAAAAACAGCCCTGATCGGTTTAGCCCAGTGGATAGAGCATCAGCCTGCAGACTCAAGGGTCCCAGGTTCGAGTCCAGTCAAGGGCATGTACCTTGGTTGCGAGCACATCCCCAGTAGGGAGTGTGCAGGAAGCAGCTGATTGATTTCTCTCTCATGAATGTTTCTAACTCTCTATCCCTCTCCCTTCCTCTCTGTAAAAAATCAATAAAATATATATATATTTTTTAATTAAAAACAGAACTACCAGATGATCCAGTAATCTCACTTCTGGGTAGTGAATTGAAATCAGGATCTCGAAGAGAGATCTACTCGCCCATGCTCACGACAGCATTGTTCACGACAGCCAAACATGGAGGCAACCTACGTGTCCATCGACGGATGCATGGAGAAAGAATGCCACACACGCACAAACACAGAGGAATATTTTTCAGCATAAAAAAAGGAAATCCTGCCCACCGGCATGGCTCAGTGGTTGAGCACCGACCTATGAACCAAGAGGTCACGGTTCGATTCCCAGTCAGGGCACATGCCCAGGTTGAGGGCTTGATCCCCAGTGTGGGGTGTGCAGGAGGCAGCCGATCAAGGATTCTCTCTCATCACTGATGTTGCTATATCTCTCCCCCTCTCCCTTCCTCTCTGAAATCAATAAACTTTTTTTTTTAAAGAAGGAAATCCTGCCATACACAACAAGATGGATAAACCTGGAGAGCACTATGCTAAGCAAACTAGGCCACTCACAGAAGGACAAACACTGCATAATTCCATTTATATGAGGTATCTAAAATAGTCAAACTTACAGAAGCAGAAAGCAGAATGGTGGCTGCCAAGGGCTAGGGGGAGGGGAAGAAAAGGGACGCTGCTATTGAATGGGTACAAAGTTTCAGTTACACAATTCTAGAGATTCTAGAGATCTGCTATACAACTGTATGCCTCTAATTAACAAAACTGTACCGTTTCATTGAAAAGTTTGTTAAAAGGGGCCCAGGCCGGCATGGCTCTAGTGACTGAGCCTAGACCTGTGGGCTGGGAGGTCGCGGTTCAATTCCTGGTGAGGGAACATGCCTGGGTTGCAGGCTCGATCCCCATTGTGGGCATGCAGGAGGCAGCCAATTGGTGATTCTCTCTCATCATTGATGTTTCTCTTTCTCTCTCTCTTCCTCTCCTTTTCTCTCTGAGATCAATTAAAATATTTTTTAAAGTGTGTTAAAAAGGTAGATCTTGTGAAGTGTTCTTACTACAATAAAAAAAATAAAATAAAATATACAACAAAAACCCACTAGGGTCATTTGGGGAAATGGTACTCCATTTAAAAGCAAAATAATCCACAAAATCATTTTAATAAATATTGAAATCATTAAGTCAGCGGAGAAAGGCTACGTACGTACCAGAGGTGGGTTGTTCGGTTCCACACCATCTTGTGCTCCTGAAGCGTCAGCCGCTGAATCACCCCCTTGCAATTTTCCACAAACTGGCTGTTGAGCGTTTCTTTAACAGACCGAACAGCTCCTAAATGGAACCCAATTATTTTATTTCTGAAGCACTGCTCTGCTCTTCCCTTTAGGTCATTTAAATTTGGTTTTTAGTTTGAGTTCATTTCACTAATCAAAATGGTGACAATATTATCAACATAAGTTATGCTTTGTGGGTGCTCTTCTGAGCACTACAACAACCCTGTAAGGTAGCAATTCTCTTAGAGATGGACAACAGAGGTTCAGAAAGCCTGGGCAACCCCAAGGTCACACTGCAATACTCCAGGTCTTTCTGAGCCCCAAGTCCAAGTTCTGGACTACTGCCCCAAATATACACATATCAGCCAAGAACAAACTTTTAGAAGAGGAAGTTACTTTTCATTTTACCAATAAACAAACATACCTTCAATAACAGCGTAAGGCACACATTTTCCTGGAGCTTCTGAAAGGATACTCTTTAAGTCTTCACCCAAGTGGATCCTTTTAGCTCCCTAAAGGCAAACAACATATTAAACTGACTACTGAATACCGACATGTTCAATCAAACTTAAAGGGCAAAAAAAGAAAGACTATTTACTTTTTTCGTGTTGAAAGAATGAGAAAATCGGGCAGGAAGGAGACTATAGGAGATTCAGACTCCAAAGCTGTGTCTGAGAAGTTTCATCATACAAACAGGCATGGGGCCCTGCCTCCCTCCACCATCTGCAGAATGGGGTGTCACATATATTCTTTTTTTTTTAAATGTTTATTGATTTTTTAGAGAGAAGAGAGGGGAATGGACAGATAGAAACATTGATGAGAGAGAAACATCATCGATTAGCTGCAAACTCCCTATTGGAGATCTAGCCCACAACCCGGGCATGTGCCCTGACGGGGAACTGAACCATGACCTCTTAGTTCCTAGGTCAGGGGTGGGCAACCCCTGGCACGCGTGCCAAACATGGCACACCAGTAACTTTTGCTGGCACGCAAAACCCTCTCTTATAATCTTCCATTTGGACTATCAGTGTATTTTTTAATGTATACATTAAGAAATAAATGTATTTTTCATCATCATATACTGTGTTTTTGTTGCTCGAATGAATTTTATTATTTCTTCAAGGTTCTTCATATACGTACACCTTAAGAGATATCAAGTAGGCGTAACATGTTCTCAAAAAATTAGGGTTGGCACACAGAAGAATTTTGAGTCAGAGATTTTGCTGGTTATGGCACGCACTCACAAAAAGGTTGCCCACCCCTGTCCTAGGTCGATGCTCAACCGCTGAGCCACACCAGCTGGGCATATCCTTTCTCCAGTTAATGGAAATATACACTTCTTTTCATCTTCATTTTTAAATGAAACTTATGAATCAATCTGTATGCCATAGGCTGAAAATATTTCAATCTCTTCTTGACAATACAGAACCATACATCCAAAGGTTCATGTGTAAAGCATCTAAAGTACATGGTAGGGGCTGGAGCACTGGTAGGCACCATCATCACCAGGCCTTTATGAACTCACGCCCTGCATTGTACACCATCATAAAGGGCTGCCTTTGCTCTATAGGCAAGGATCTGTTACCTGGTGCCAAACACTGTTCTATTTCAGTTTGTCTCTTCCCTTTCACAATCAGGTGCGCATAGCGACATCTGCTGCTGTCTTCCTCTGACAACCACTAGTTCTCCCACCCCTTCCAATTCCGTTCCCCACCTGCTGTGCTGGGAACCAAGTAAGCCTGTTACTGCTCTAGCAAAACTATGAAAAAAGTTATCAAATCAATAAACATTTCCTGAGCACCTATGTGCCAGGCACAGTGCTGGGCGCTAGGGATTCAGGGATGAATGAAGGACAGTTTCCACTTTCACAGTATCCCCATCAACAAATCTTAAGGATGCCAGATAAGTTACCTGTACAGAGGAGATGAGATACTGCACACATATTAAGGTCACTCTAAGATTAAGCTACTGCTACACAGTAAATGAGCAAGGTCAACACACACTTATTAACCACCCACACTGTGAAGAAAATTTTTAAAATAATACCATAACAGCTAACACAGTGTATTTATTCGTTTTATTATTTGTCTTCCTCCACTGGACTATTAGACTCTAGGAAAGTTAGGGCCCTGCTTGTCTTGTTCATTGCTGTCCCCCTAGTGCTGAGAACGGAGCCTAACACATATCAGGCACTCAATATGTATTTGATGAATACATATGCTCTTACATATACCAAAGCACTTTGCTAAGCACTTTAAATCTATAAATCCATTTAATGCATACACCATCCTTATACAGTAGACATTATCAACCTCAATTACAGATAAGAAAACTGAGGCTCAGAGAGGGGAAGTGACTTGTCCCAAGTCACACAGCTGGTGAAGTATCCACCAGGAGATGGCCAGTTAGAATTTTTTTAAAGGGCTGGAAGAGGAGTATGCTCAGAAAGACGTGGGACTCAATCAAGCTTCAATGCATCTCCTGTGGCTTTGACCAACTTAATTTACCTAAGTCTCGGTTTTCAAAAGTGTAAAAGATGGGGAGAATGATCTCACAGAATTTTTATGAGGATTATATGAATCTTAAGATGTAAAGAATCTAGCCCAGAGGCTGGCACATAGTAGGCATGCAATAAACATGCATTCCCATCACTATAAGAAATACACAGTGATAACACACAAACCTGACTATACAAGTCCTGTAATCTGATCAAAAAAATAGAATCTAAAATATTAGGAGTCCCAAATCTTTTTACAAAAAGGGGCCATTTCATCCTCATTTAGGAACTAATTGGCAAAGCTTTTAAGGTCATCCAAAAGCGGGTGCTGGAGAGTTCAATGTTTCAAAGAATCCCACATCAGGCCCACTTGATGCAACCTGATTTCTGAGTCAGGAAGTGAAGTATCAGTTACACTCATAGCCAATCACTTCCAAAGTAATTTGGTTATTTAATTAGGCGAAGAACAGGGGAGCTGGAATCTCACTAGGACCCCATTCACACCACAGACTCAATTGTTTGGTAACTTGGTTCACTGCAGATAGATTCCAAAACTCCTCTCACAGCGGGAATTTCACACATTTGTTTCTAACACAATTAACACTATCAGAAAACAATCTGATAGTGAAGTTGGTAGGTTTAGGAATCCAGCTTTCAAATAAATGTCCAATTAAACCCTAACTGTTGTAGTGTAAAAATGTCAGCCCAAACGAATCCACATTTATTGAGCACCTAATCAAGCACTGAATCAGAAGAAAGATAAGGGCCTTGTTTCCAACTTAATGAGGTCCATCTCTTTCTCGTGGGCCATTCATAGTACAGCAATGTCCTCAATCAGAAAAAAAAAAAAAATCCCACAAGTGGAACTAAAAGATCTAAGTTTCAGTTTCAACCTGACAGTAACTGTAAGACCTTTCCTGTACGCCCAACTTCCTGATTTGCAACCTGGAGGCAATTTTCACTTTATCTCAAAAATTACTGTGCAGGAAAAAAATAACAAGATGGGAATGTCTTATGTAAGCTGTAAAGTGCGGCTGAAGAGTGTTACTTTTAAAATAACTTAAAATATTAAAAAAGGAAGCGTCTGGAGAGGCAAGGGGCTGAGGAGCTGCAGCTTCTGTACTTGCTGTTCCCTCTGCCTGAGCCGCGCTTCCCCAAGACATGTGCAGGCCCCCTCACCTCCTCCTGGCTCTGTTCAAATGTCACCCATTTAAAATAGCAAACCTCCGTTTCTCCAGCATCCCCACCTGCCATACCACCTGATCTGCTTGTCCATTGTCTATCTCGGTTGTAGTAGAATGGAACCTCCATGAGGGCAGGGGCTTTGGTCTGTTCTACGCAAGCGATATCCCCAGAGCCTGCACTTAGATGTTCAATAAATATTTTGAATCAAGTATTGAAGTCAAGATGCATATTCTGATTCATGGGAGGGACTTGGCAGAAAAGGAGTCGTAAAGCAGTCACCCCCATACCCGAATTCTGGTCCTCGGTCCTCCATTTCCTGCCCCGGGGGACACCCTCCTGGGCCTATTTCCTCTTTTGGGGAGTTTCCGCCGGCGGACGGGCCCCAGGCGAACTGCGGGCTCACCATTACCGGAGCCAGAGAGGACTGGCGGGGGACAGCACTGACCTTGAGCTCTTGGGCGACCTGGGCCTTCTGCCGGTACACGGAGTACAGGACGGCGGTGACGACGGAGCTGGTGCCCAGGAGGATGAACTGGCCCAGCGAGGGCCGCCCTCCGTTCTCCATGGCTGCGCCGAACCCCGAGTGCAGGGGGGACAGCGAGGTCAGGCCCCGCGACCCCGGCCCGAAACTCTCCCTCCACCTCGCTCCCACCCGGGACCGCACCCCCCGGCCCAGGAGATCTTTCCCGGAAACCCTTATCGGGTCGCCAAGCGATTTCGTAATCCACACCGGAAGTGGGGGCGGGGAAAGAGCAGACCGGAAGGTGGTGTTGCCAGGGTGATGGCCGCGCAGCCACGGCGTCCCCAGGGGCGGGGCCTCCCCCTCCTAGATCCTTTCGCCTTCCGCTCGCGGCGCACCGACCACAATTGATTGGCCCGCGTCTACCTAATCGCGGTCCCGTTGATCTCATAGGGTTTGGGGGCTGTTTAATGTTGTTCGATGTCTCCACCATTAGATTAGAAGGAAAGAAGAGAATGGGTAATAAGCATTTATGAGTATTACACATTTAAGCTTCGGGGCAAACCTTGAGACTTGAGTTTTATTCTTCCACTTGACAGATGAGAGAACAAGCCGAAGAGGTGGGGATGTGCTTAAAATCACACTGCCACTGAAATTACACATTTAAGCTTCGGGGCAAACCTTGAGACTTGGATTTTATTCTTCCACTTGACAGATGAGAGAACAGGCCGAAGAAGTTAGGGGATGTGCTCAAAATCACACTGCCAATGAGTGCTAGAGAGGCATTTACTAGACTCCAGAGCCCTTACTCCAAGAAGGCAGATTATATCACCAAAGTAGCCCCTTAACCTGCCATCACTACATATAACAACTTATTGTTTATTAACTAATAATTACAGCTACTTTTATTGAATGCCTATTACGTGTCAAGTATTATGACAAAGTTTCACAGACATCATACCATTTACTCCTCACAGCACGGTTGTGAAGCAGATTTCAGAGACTGTTTTCTGACCTCTATAACTAATAATTACAGCTACTTTTATTGAATGCCTATTATGTGTCAAGTATTATGACAAAAAGCTTCACTGACATCCTACCATTTACTCCTCACAGCATGGTTGTGAAGCAGATTTCAAAGACTGTTTTCTGACCTCTACAGTGATCTCCCTAAAATAATCAAGAGATACCCAAAATCTTATCCAGAACATCAACCTACAAAGCATTTGTCCTACGGGTTATGCTTTACATTCTTGAAAATATAGGAATGTACCCGTTGGCCCAACTCAATGTATATAAAATGCATTTAAAGACTGTAGGCAAATTGCTCCCAAAAAGTAAAATCTCTTTAATACAGCAGCTGGCTATCCCTGACATTTTTCTACCCCATTCCTTAATTATTCTTGGAGTCAAACAAGAGTTACATTCTATGAACATGAGGTTAGAATCTACAGATTGCCAACACCACCAGATACCTTTGCTGATGTTCAACCCAAGAGGTTATCATAAATTTTTACACACACACACTTAAAATGAGATCTATATTTAATTTTGTAATGGAACTTGTCAAAAAGTTTGATAACACATTGTGTTGGCAAAGGTGTGGGGACATCGACTCCTTTTTGACCTAGCAATTCCCCTTCTAGAAATTCTTCCTACATAGGTACACATGTGAACATGAACAATTTACAAAATTATTCACTGCAGTATCACTTTTCATAACAAAAGAGTGAAAACAATCTAAATGTTATAACTAGTGAATTGGTTACATAAAATTTTAAATATGTGTATATGAGCATAGTAAAGTGAAAAGGCAGACTGAAAACCTGTTTGAAGATGAGCCCATTTACTTTAAAAAGAACAGAGAAATACACTATCTATGTTTCATATCTCTAGAAGGATTCATAAAAGCTGAAATGTTGGTTGCTTCCCTAAAGGGGAATTGGGTGGCTAGAGAACGGAGCCACTTTTTAATCTTTTGTACTTCTTGAGTGTGAATGTACATCATATTTTGAATTAACCAAACTTGAATTTTAAAAAAGAGGAAGAACATGTCAGTCACTCCATAACCAACAATTACAAACTGCATCCCAGCTACGGGAGTAGCACTAGGTTGTTAAGGAGCCAGGCTCTGCTCTCTGGATGGTTAGGGTTGTGTGAAGAAGCAGACAGGGGCAGGGAATCTACCGTCCCAGGCCCAGGGAAATTAGGGCAAGCAAGAGGGGTGCAGTTTACTTTCCTCCCAAGGGAAGAGATTTGAGTTCTGTAAACAGATGGGGGTCATTTCCGACCCTGAACCTGACGTGTCCCTCCTACTCAAAGATATACTCAATGACAGCCAATTTGAGAAACTCGTCTGGAAGCCAGAATCCCACTGCGGAGGGCGGGGGGAAATGGAAATTATTTGTAAAATAATCTCCAAGGGTCCTTCCATTTCCACATTCTATAATCTCGGATTTTCCCAGGAACAGATGCTGTCAAGGCTGCAGTGGATACTATTAGCCACAAGGAGGCGCAATGAGCACAGGATGCCTAAGGCAAAAATAAGGGGGAGGGAGAGTAGACCCGCCTGTGGCCTAAAGAAGGGAGATAAAGGAATGGCGAGTGAGGGTCTGGAGATTTAAAGGGACCACTGGAGCTCACTGTGGACCCACGCTGGGCTGTATCTAGGGGCCCAGTTAGTTCTCAGACCTGCCAACAGGCCCGGTGACCATCACCCCTGTGATGTGCAGGATCCCGCCCCTCCCCTTAGTTACTGTATTAATAGCACCTGTTGGTCAGCGGGAGGCACCTGGCACCCTGGGTATTGGGAAAGGATGGTTCAGGACAGGCTTGGGAGTCGGCGCCCTGAGTCCTCTATCTGCTCTGCCATTTAGTCATGTGACCTCTGGCAGGTCCCAGCACCATCCTGAGTCTCAGCTGCCCATCTGTATTCCAGCTGGGATTCAAGTCAAGCTACAGCTCCTCCCCAGGTACTGGGCAAACCACTTTACTGATCTGAGCGTTCGTTTTCTCGGGCAGAGAAGGGGGTAATATCCCTGTTTCTGCTTTGACTACTGTTGGCCCAGAGAAGTTGAGGTGTGGGTAGGCATGTTAGGAATTCTTCTCCTTTTATTATTTGTGTTCTTGGTTTGCAAAACATGGGCAAGGAAGTGGGTGAATTTGAACAATTGTTTTTAAACCAATTAAATCCATTCAACATCATTTGGGTAGGTAATATTGTAATTTTTTTAAGTTTATTGTAGTCACAAGATAAATAAAAGTTTAATGATAAAACTATAGCTGAATGGCAAATGAGTAATACAGAGACACAAATAATACAGAAGTTCAGAGGAGAAAAACACATTGCCATGGGCTTCTATGGTTAGGAAATAACAATAGTAACATTTACTGAACACCTACTATGTGCCAGGCACTAAGCCAAGCATTTTATATACAGAATCATAAATCTTTTATTTGAAGCAACTTCAGGGATTATTCTACCACACATGTAATTATACACTTACATGTATAATTATTCATTTAGGTTCCCTCTCCCCTGCTAAATTCTAAGCTATTAGAATGCAGCTGTTAACAAGACAAGTACAACTTAAATGAGCCCAGGAGTTGTACCTGTCTTGTTAACTGCTGCATTCTCAGTATTTAGCCCAGTACCTGGTATATAATAGGTGCTCAATAAATATTTGTTGACTAAATGAATGAATGGATCAACAACCCCATTCCAAACTGACTCCCAACAGGAGAAGCCCTTCTGCATTGACTCAGAGAGGGACATCAGTCTTTGCCTAAACAATTCCCTTGGTGGAGAACTCACTACCTCACAAAGAGTCTACTGTCAACTACCTTATATCCCTGGCACTTCGCCTCCTGGGCCCTGGTTCTGCCCCTGAGCCTTTGTCCATCGAGAGGAAAATGCTGGATATGGAGCCCTTCTGCACATCTCAGCAACTTCCTTTGAGTTCTGCCAACCAAGAGCCCACCTAACGCTGATGGAAGGAAAAAATATGGTGGCTAGAAAGGGTGCAAGGTCATTTTTCCTCAAGATGGGAGGGAACTGTCTATGTGTGAGGCAAATGGAATGGAACTTGAAGAGAAAGCAGACTGTTGATACTAGAGCGGAAAGGATAAATGTGGGACCCTCTGTGGGAACTTGTGCTGCAGAGAGGCAGACCTTGGCCTGGGCCCCAGCCAATCATGGTGGTCCTGTTCCCATTGCCAGGGATTGGCTTAGGAATGAGCATGTGATCCAGTTCAGGCCAATGAGCTATAGGGGAAGGTCTGCTGAGGAACTTCAGGGAAGTCTCTTAAGGAGCACAAACTGGCCTGGCTCAGTGGTTGAGAGTTGACCTATGAACCAATACTCAGTTGACCTATGAATCACAGTTTGATTCCCGGTCAGGGCACATGCCTGGGTTTGCAGGATCATTCCCCGGTAGGGGCGTGCAAGAAGCAGCCGATCAATGCTTCTCTCTCATCTTTGATGTTTCTCTCTCCCTCTCCCTCCCTAAAATCAATAAAAATATTCTTTTTAAGAAGCACAGCTGAAAGAGATAGTCCCTGTTCTGCCTCTAACCAGTGTATCTGGAGGTGACATAACTGTTGAAGCCATATTGCTGCCACCCAGATCAATACATAGTCTTGAACTTCTTGTCAGTGAGATGGTAAATCTCATTGTGTAAGCCCAGTGAATTGGCCATTGGTAAGGACCACCACCCAGAGCGTCCTAGCAGATACACAGATAAAAACAGAACTGCACAAATGAGGGCGCTTTCAGTGACGGGTGCAGAAGCCCGATTGTAACACACTGAAGCAAAACGTGGAATGCGCTGGTCCAAATAACTGAAAAGTTCAGGGTTGGCTGGATCCAGAGGCTCAAATCAAGTGGGGCATGGACCCCAGGATCTCAAGGGCTCCTCAGTCACCCCTGACACACCCTGCTCTTTTCCAGGCAGACCCACGTGACGCCCACCACCAGGACCTGCTGCCTTTCAGTTCTGTGGTCAGTCACTGAAGACCCTTGAGGCCCATTTCCCCATCTGCTCAGTTTACCTTGTACCAATAGCTCCCCAGAGCACACACATTAAGAAAACTTGGTGTCGAAATGTAGCTAATATTTGCTGAGTGCTTTTTCTGTACCAAATCCTTTGTAAGCCTTATCTAATCAAATCCCTGCCATAACCTGTGGCAGAGACAGCTACTTACACCCCAATATTTGTCCCATCCACTCTTTCTTGGTAATCAAACCTCTTCTTTTTAATGGGGCACATAAAAAAACTACATTTCCAAGCTCTCCTTGCAGAGGTACAACCATGGGACTAAGTTCTAGACCAGTGATGGCGAACCTTTTGAGCTCAGCGTGTCAGCATTTTGAAAAACCCTAACTTAACTCTGGTGCCGTGTCACATATAGAAATTTTTTGATATTTGCAGCCATAGTTAAACAAAGACTTATATTTTGGATATTTATCTTATATATTTAAATGCCATTTAACAAAGAAAAATCAACCAAAAAAATGTCATAGGTTCGCCATCACTGTTCTAGACAAAGGAGAGGAAAGGGAAGTGTCCCATCAAACTTCCAGGGAGTGTTCTTAAAAGGAAGGAGGCATATCTTCCTGTACTCCGTTCTTCCTGCTGGCTGGAATTCGGTCAACATAGCTGGAGCTCCAGCAGTGATGGCGGATCATGACGTAGAAGCCAGATGGTGAGGATGGCAGGGCAACAAGATAAACAGGGCTTGGGTCCCCAGTGGCTATGAAGCACTTCCCACACCTTTAATAAAGAAGTGAACTTTTATCGATTTAAGCCACCGTCGTTTTGACTTTTCCGTTATTCCCAACTGTACCTAATCTCAACTGGAATCCTGACTCCCCTGTACCAGCTCTCCCTACCCACTCCCCTGCTTTGTTCTGATAATTTGCATGTTTGTAATTGGTCTGCCATAGAATATAAGCTCACACGGGCAGAGGTTTTCTGTTTTGTCTACTTCCACACCCCCAGCTCTTCAATCGTGCCTGATACACAGTAGATGCTCCATACGTATTTGCTGAATGCATGAGCTGAAGGACAACCAACCCTAAAGGTATGTAACGTTATGATTTCACTTATGAAGATGCTGAGGCTCAGGGTGGACCGCACAACAAGGAAGTGATGGCGCCTGGATGTGAAGGGAAGCCAGGAAGACTGGCTCTTAGACACTGAGCTGCCACCCAGTGCAGAGAAGCCCCCTGAACTCCCGCTCACTGGGCCCATACCCTGCCTCTAATGAGAAAGGCTGAAGTTCATGGAGGAAATGTGAGCAGGGGTGTAAGGCCAAGAGGGTTCTCTGAGGCTGTTACTAAAGAGCATTGGGATGAAAAAAGGAAAACCTCGTGTTTCCTGGATTCTGAGACACACCTTACATTTCATTGGGAGTGAGGCAATAAACACTTCAATAAATATATCCATTGATCATCAGACACATCCTGACTTCAGAAACATTATAATGGGGACAATGTGCATCTTCAGCTGAGGCCATGGAGTAGCCCGCCTTCCTTTGAGAAACTTGCTGGAGACCTTTTCTCAAGTCTTCCTTGCATGGATGTAGTTTGGCCAATGTTCTCTGTAAAAGAACCTAAAACAAGGCTGGGTTGTTTGATTTCCACCCCCCACCTACATCTCTGCCAGAGTTAATCGCTCCCTTCCTTCCTGTGCCTTCTGCACACCTCTTTCTTTCAAGCTGCAGTGTAATTTATGTGTTTACATACCTCCTCTGCAAGAGTCTGGGTTGGAGAGCCCGGAGCACATCCTGAATCCTGTCCTATTTGCCTCCAGGCCCCCGCAAAGGGTCTGGCCCAGTACAGGCTCTTAGTGAATATTTACTAAGGGAATGCATGAATGAATCAATGAGCAAATACATGGAAGAGTGGGTGAATGGTGATGCCTACACCTGTCAGATCCTCAGCCCACAGGTGTGTGTGTGTGTGTTCCCATGTATGGCCACATCCCTGGTAGAACCCACACAAGTCTCCAGGGATTAGAGCATCAAAGAAGAGAGAGGGAGCAAAAGACAGAATTCCTTCTAGGCATTGGGGGGGAAGGACTTGGTTATGATCTTGTAGAAAAGAGCTGCTTTTACCTGGGGGAAAGGACCAGCCTCTGACCCTGTTATGGCCAAACCTCAGTGTCTCATCAAATCTGGGAGGACACCTGGTGCTGCTAACCTCACCTTCACCCTCCCAGCTCACAGGCAGGAAGGAGGCCAGACACATTTTCTCCCAAAAATATGCAGCAATGGCGGTTGCCATGAGCACTAGGATCCTCATGTTACTTGACATTCGTTTTTTTAGAAGTTCAGTTGCCATGGTAACAAAATACTGTTTGCCAGACTGAAGATGAATCTCTGGCTTAAATCTGAGGGAGATGAGGCTCTTTCTAGACATCTCCTGGAGTGGCAGGGCGGGACCAAGCCTTCCACCTCCGAACTCAATAAACATCAAAGAATTCAATCAAATTGCACGGAAGCAGCCTTGAAAAAAATGGTTGGGGGGAAAAAAATGGTTGGTGGGAAGGGAGTTCAGCTCCCATCTGCCTGCCGGGGGTGGAGGGCTGCCCAATGTCCTCCTCAAAGCCACCCCAGGCACTGTCGACACTGCCTGCCACATAGGTGCTTTCAAACAGCAGTCATTGTTGCTGGTGCCACACAGCTTGAGAACAGACAAACACAGCCAGAGCCCATTTAGCTCCCATCTGCCTGCCGGGGGTGGAGGGCTGCCCAACGTCCTCCTCAAAGCCACCCCAGGCACTGTCGACACCGCCTGCCTCATAGGAGCTGGTGCCTGGTGCCAGTCACTGTTGCTGGTGCCACACAGCTTGAGAACAGACAACATAGCCAGAGCCCATTCATTCAAAAATATATAATTGACCCTTGAACAACATGAGTTTGAACTGTGCAGATTCACTTAACACGGATTTTTTTCAATATACAGATGGCCCTCTGTATCCCCAGGTTTCACTTCAGAGGAGTCAATCAATCGAAAACAGTATTTTCCATCTTCAGTTGGGAATCCCACTGTGGAGGGCCAACTTCAGTTATACATGGATTTTCAACTGCACTGAGGGTTGGCACCCCTCACACCCATGTTGTTCAAGGGTCAATGGTATGTACTGAGCTTCTCCTACTAGCCATGGATAGTTGTAGCCACTGGGGAGACATAAAAATCCTCCAGGAGGAGACTAAACCATGCCCTCAAAAAGGCAGATGATAAGCAAATAAACAAGGAAAATATGGTTTATCGGAAGATGTGGTAGGTTGATGTTCACTTCCGGATCCCTGTGAATCATGTGACTATGTCTCCTCACATGGCAACCAGAGAAGATGCTACACTGTGGGCATTAAAGATGGAGGAAGAGGGCCCGAGCCTCGGAATTTCGCCTCTAGAAGGTGGAGAAGGCAAGGAAACAGCTTCTCCCCTGGAGCCTTTGCCAAGGATGCAGCCCTGTGGCCCTATTTTAGACTTCCGACCTCCAGAACTGTAAGGTAAGAAATGTGTGTTGTTTTAAGCCACTGTTTTCGATCATGTGTTACAGTGACACCGGGAAATTAATACAGATGGTGACAAGTGCCGATGGGAAAAAAAAAAATACAGCAGAGAATGAGGGCAGAGAGAGCTGGGACCAGGGTGTGGAGGTGGCCCTTTTTAATGGGGTGGTTAGCAAACTGCTCTGAGAAGGTAGAATTTTTTTTTTTTTTTCAGCAAGATGTGAAGAAAGTGATGAGGAGACCTGTTGGTGTCTGAAGAACAGTCCTGGCTGAGGGAACAGCCGGTGTGAGGACTCTTCGGTGGGAGTGGGCCTGGCCTGCTAGGGGAACATCAAGGAGACCCGTGTGGAGTGATCACATCCATAGGGGATGAGAATAATAGGGGAGGAGGTCAGCCAGGCCAAGGAGCAGCTGCTCTGAGGCCTGGTAGGCCATGAGGAATGCTACAGGCTGAATGTGTGCATCGCCCAAAAAAGTCATGTGAGGCCTTTGTGGGTGATGAAGTCACGAGAGTAAGCCCTGTGAATAAGATGAGTGCCCCGTATAAGAGACCGCAGAGAGCTCCCTCGCTCCTTCCGCCACGCGAGGACACAGTAAGATGACCACTCATGAGCCAGGAAGCAGGTTCTCACCAGACACCGAACTGCCTGTGCTCCCAGCCTCCAGAACTGTGAGAAACAATGTGTGTTACTCATAGGCCACTCAGTCTACAGAAGGTTGTTACAGCAGCCGGAACAGACAGGAGCCACAGAAGGGTTTTGAGTATGGGAGGGACATGATTGGACTTACCTTCTAAAAGGGGCCCTGTGATGAGAATAGACTGAGTTGGGCCCAGGGCTTAGGTGGGAAGAGCAGTGAGGAGGCTACTGCCTCAACTCAGGTGAAAGTGATTGGACCAGGGTGGGAGCCATGAACTTGTTGAGAAGGGGTCAGATCCTGGATATACTCGCAGACGGAGCTGATGGGAATGGGTTCAGATTGGTTAAGGATGTGAGGACAATAGAGGAGTCAAGATTCTTGGCCTGAGCAACTGGGGAGGCTGGCCTGGTCATCCCGGTTTGGTCATTTTAATTTTGAGACGTTTATTTGACCTCCAAGTGGAGGGTAGGAAAGAGTCTGGAGTTCAGAGGAGAGATCATCATCTGCAGATAGAATTGGGAGGTTGTTAGCTTCTAAGACGGTACTTCAAGCTAAAAGCGTGGATGAGATCACCAAGAGAATGTGGGGCACGCCAACATGTCAAGGTCAAGGAGATAAGGAGAACTCACCAAAGGAGCTCAGGTGAGTGGTCATTGAGCGAGAAGGACACCAAGTGAGGATGTAAAGGAAGTGTGTTGAGAAGGAAAGCGTGGTCCGTTGTACCAAGTGCAGGTTGGAGCTCAGGAAGGTGAGAATCTGCCACGGGATTTAGCACCTTGGAGGTCATCAGTGACCTTGAGAAGTGCGGTGGAAGCCAAGGACAGACGTGAGGGGATCCAAGGGAGTAAGAGAGAAGGAATTGGACCCAAGAGGCAGAGAACACTTTCCAAGGTTTACTATAAAGAAAGGCAGAGAAATAAGCATCGGCTGAAGAGAGGGTGTAAGATCAAGAGAGTGTTATTTTGTTTGTGTTTGTATTTGTCTTATATGATGACATAAATGACTGCGTGTTTGTATGCTGATGATCCAAAAGAGAGGAGAGAAGGGACAGATAACACAGAAGAAAGGGCAGGAGCTCTCTGCAGTGAGACCTGGAGAAAGTGACCAGGGACTGTGGAGGGGCTGGCTCCAGGCATTTCATCCCCGCAGCGCACGGGGTGCCATGTATGAGCACAGATGCAGGTGGGCGGTGGCTGCGCCGCTGAGTCTGGGGAAGTTCTCTCCTGTTGTCTCCATTTCCTTGGAAAAGTAGGAAGCAAGAGCCTCCGCTGAGAACAAGAACGAGGAAGGAGGCACGGAGGTCTGAAGAGAGAGGAGGAGGTGTGGCATCATCATGTAGGAAAGAAGAGAGTGAATGGACTGGGGAAGGATAGTTGACTTGCCTGGCGGTGTAAGAGTTTACTGACGACGCATGGCCGTCAATGTAGCGTGGCCTGTGATTTCTGTCTTTCTCCAGCCAGGGTGAGCTGCACAGGTGCAGACGTGGAGTAGGTGGACAGCTGGAAGTAGAATTAAGGTTGCAGATAGAATTAAGGTTGGTAATCGGTTAACCATGAAATGGGGAGGTTATTGTGTATTGTCCAGGTAGGTCAATGTTACCCAGAGGTCCTTCTAAGAGACAGAGGAAGGCAGTAGAGACAGAAGCAGGGAAGTGGCAGCATGAGAAAGACTCAGCCCAGTGCTGCTGACTTGAAGAGGGAGGAAGAGTCTATGACAGTGATGGCGAACCTATGACACGCGTGTCAGAGGTGACACGCGAACTCATTTTTTTGGTTGATTTTTCTTTGTTAAATGGCATTTAAATATATAAAATAAATATCAAAAATATAAGTCTTTGTTTTACTATGGTTGCAAATATCAAAAAATTTCTATATGTGACACAGCACCAGAGTTACGTTAGGGTTTTTCAAAATGCTGACACGCCGAGCTCAAAAGGTTCGCCATCACTGGTCTATGAGCTAAGGGACAGGGGTGGCCTCTAGGAGCTGGAAAGGCAAGGACACAGATCTCCCCCTCGAGCAGAAGGGACATGGGTCCCACTTCAGACTCTGACCTGCAGGACTGTAAGAGAACAATTAAGTTTGTGGCCATGTGTTATAGCAGCAGTAAGAAACGAACACAGGAATATGTGAGGAAGTCATGGATTGAAGGAGAGTGAGGAGGGAAATGAGCTCTGAGAAGGATGAAAAGGTAGTCAGATCAGTGAACTGGAGGACCAGGTGGAGTCAAAGAGTTGTTGGAGATGGAACACCAGAAGGAAAAATTCTTATACTGTGGGATGCTTTCAACTGACATTACAAAGGGCTGCAGTTATTGGTAATAGCTGGGTCAAGGATATGAGAGTGGGGGTGCGTGCTGAGATGGCGTGCAGGACAGGATCCTCGGAGGATAAGGGAAATCTAGGAGGAAAGGGGATTTTGATTTGTGAGCAACAAAGGAGAACAACAAGAATGCCTGCCCACTGCAGGCCCAGCGGTTTGAGGGGTGTGGGATGGGGACCAGCCATCTCTTGAGCGGGCTGCAGGAAGCACTGCATAGAGGGGCCACCATTTAACCCCTTTTTATCCAGCCTCCCAATGCTTCCCAATGCCCCCATCGCCAAGCACGCACACCCTCCCACGCACACTGGGTCGGGCTGGCCCTGCGTGACCAATAGAATGTGGCAGAGAAACACTCCGTGACCCTGGGACAAAGCATCAAAGGCTTCGCAGCTTCCATTCTGGCCTCTTGGCTCGTTCACTCTGGGGAAACCAGCCACCGAGCCACGAAGACCCTCCAGCCGTCCCAGGAGGAGAAACTGAGGCCCCAGAGGAGCGGGGCCGAATTTGCCTCGACCTCCTCTGTGCCCTGCGCCTGCCACAGATCAAGTGTGCAGCAATCATTTGTTGCGTGGCGGACTGGGTGAGTGAAGAGCAACCAGAGGTGGTTACATTAGGGAGTCAGGTAAAGGGATTCGTGTGGGCATCAGAGTCAGTACGAAAGGGAGCCAACCTGGAAATCCCCTCCTCTGGCCCTGTCTCTGCTCCCAGCTGCTCTGACTCAAGGCCTGGCGGGCTGCAGCTGTCTCCTCTTACCCGTCCCATCCTGAGACTCAGCAGATCCCAGTACTGGCCTCAGTTTAGCCTGTTCTGCTTGTTATGCGAACATGGTTTTGCTCTGAGCTAGACTGTGATTTGATGGATGCACCAGGAGCTTATCTCTCAAATACAGGCGCACTGAAAGGAACATCTCCATCCATCACCTTTCTCATCTCCTGCACCCATACCACTCAGTAACTGGCCATCTGACGGTAGACTAATGCTATTCTGAAATCTCCTTGATGCTTAATATACTTCAGAATGAATCGTCGTTTTGGTCACATTCCTCTTTCTCTTTATTTCTTAGTCATGAATACACAATTTTTCCAACAGTTAAGAGTATGCCAAACTGACTTTAGTTACTGCTCTGTCAGTCACTCACTGTGTGGCCTTAGGGAAGTCATTTAACCTCTCTGAGCCTCATCTCAGTCCCCCCATGTGTAAAATAATAATTAATAGTTCCTTCTTTGCAAAGGTAATCGGGCCCGGCCAGCGTGGCTCAGTGGTTGAGCATCGACCTATGAACCAAGAGGTAACGGTTCAATTCCCAGTCAGGGCACATGCCCAGGTTTCGGGCTCAATCCCCAGTGGGGGGCGTGCAGGAGGCAGGTGATCCATGATTCTCTCTCATCATTGATGTTTCTCCCTCTCCCTCTCCCTTCCTCTCTGAAATCAATAAAAATATATTTTTTAAAAAAGGTAATTGGGAGGATTGGCTAGAAAGGAAAAGGTTTTGCATAATGCCTGGCACATAGCAAGCTTTAAGTAAATATCGGTTTGTCATTGTTAGAAATGAACAGAGGCAAATGAATTAGAAATAAATACAGCTTCAAACAAATCTGCAGCAGAATTTTGGATGTTCAGAGCATTCTAAAGCAGAGACTCTTCGTTAAAAAAATATGCACACACAAAGTATACCAATCTAGCACCAAAAGGCATATGCACACACCTATAACTGAGATATAGCCACACAATCAATCATAGTTCATTTCTATTCATCACCTATATAATCACTTACAACCATCTGGGGATTAAGAAAATTGTACTTTAAGAGCATTGAAAACCTTGCCAAAATCTCTCTGAAAGAAACAGTTCCCAGCCTTCAAGAGAAGCATCGTACCAATTGCTATCTACATTTTTCAGAGAGGAAAGGCAGGCAGCCCAAGGTCACAAGATGAGTCACTGTCGGAAGTGAGACTTTAAAAAATACATAAAAATAAAAGTGTATGTGCTGTCCTTTAAGAATAATGTACTGACCTGCCCTCAATCAGGGATCTGCTCTGAGCTGTCTTTCCTACAGTGGAAAGGATGAAGATGGAGTCAGATGGTGGGGACACATCTCATTCAGCTGCACACCTACTAAGTTCCAGATGTTGTCCAGGGCACGTGGAGTCGACAGTGTAAAAGATAGGTGCAACCCCTCCCTCAGAGTGCTCGGAGCCTTAGGAGAAGAGGAGACAGGCATTAAATAAAGGATTACACAAATAATGAATTGTTTACAATTCTGATCACTGCTGTGAAGGTCAGAACCCAGGGAAGCCAGGAGAGGTCAGGGAACTATTTCCCTAGAGCAGGGACATCTAAGCATTAGCCTGAAAGATGAACAGGCTAGAGGAGGAAGGGTGGGGCCAAGAGGGAACAGCATGTGGAAAGGACCTGAGGCGGGAAGGTGTTCAGTAGTTAGAGGACCTGGGAGGAGGCTAGCACAGGGGACGAGTCATACAGAGCTTTTGGGGCCAGTGTGACAGATTAGAGACCGTTTAGTTACCTAATACAAATTCTCCTAAAGCTCTGTGACTTCAGACAACAATAAATATTTATTATCTCACAGTTTCGGGAAGTCGAGAATTTGGGAGCAGCTTAAGGTCTCCCAGGAGGTTGCAGTGTAGGTATAAGCTGGGGCCGTGGTCATGTAAAGGCTTTAATAGATGAATCTGGGGCTGGAGAGTTCACTTCCAAGAAGCCTCCCTCAGGTGCATGGTAGCCTGGTGCTGGCTGTTGGTGGGAGGCCTCAGTCCCCTGACGTGCAGCCCTCCCCACTGGGCTGCCTGAGTGTCCTCATGATGTGGTAGCCGGTTCCCCATAGTGAGTGACCCAAGAGAGACCAAGGCAGAAGCCACAATGTCCTTCATGGCCTAGCCCAGCCGTGGGCAAACTACGGCCCACGGGCCGGATCCGGCCCGTTTGAAATGAATAAAACTAAAAAAAAAAAAAAAAGACCGTACCCTTTTATGTAATGATGTTTACTTTGAATTTATATTAGTTCACACAAACACTCCATCCATGCTTTTGTTCCGGCCCTCCGGTCCAGTTTAAGAACCCATTGTGGCCCTCGAGTCAAAAAGTTTGCCCACCCCTGGCCTAGCCTCACAACTCACACAACTTCGTTTTCACAATATCTCATTCATTACTTCGGCCGGCGCTACTCAGGGTGGGAGGGCACTGCTCACAGGCATGAATACCAGGGGGCGAGGATCACCGGGTCTGGTCTTGAACTCAGCACCCACTTAATAAAATGATCCCTAAGATGGCAGACTGTTCAAACCCGAAGGGACTGTTGCAGATTAGTCCAACTTCATTTGGCAGAAAAAAATAACTGCATAAATGCGTTAAAAACATGCATTAATTAATCAATTGATATGCACTGAGGTACTGTACTTTTGCATTCCCAGGAAATGATCATGAGACCATGTGACTGCGATATATGAATCTTGAGCACAATTATCAAGCATCAGAAAAGCACTGAGGCGAGATTCCGGTTAGACATGGAAAATTAAAGCAAACGCCATTCCTTCCCCAAGCCTCACTAAAATGATAATAAAGGAATAAAAGTGGCATAAATGACAGGGAAAAGAAAGAGGTGATGACAGCCGCCGAGAGGTGTCAACATTTTGGAGGATGAAAGGCACATGGACAAGGGGTGACAAGCTCGGTAGAGTGGAAAAGATGGAAACCCACGAGAATCAAACCCCAGCACAACGCTGGAAGCCCCTGGGGACCCAGGGATTCCAGGCACCAGACATCTCTGGTTATAAGGGTGCAGGTGGTACCTAAAAACCCAGGATGGGATGAAAGCTGGCAGTGAGACCCCAGGTGCCCTCTCTCTCCCGAGCAGCAAGAAGATCCCCACCCCGCCCCTTGCACCAAAAGACCGCAGCTTTGCTCTCTGGGGAAATTGACCCGAAACACCTCTGGACTGAGGACCCCAGGCACAGCGGAAGGGGAGGGAGGCACCATGTTGAGCGCGGTTTGACTGGCAGCCTGCGCACCAATCAGTGAGACAGGAGGTCCCGGCTCCATCCACTCCCGGAATGTGGGCAGCCAGATGTGCAGGGCCCTAGCCCCATGGGCAGAAGGCTCTGGCAGTTCTCTCTGGAGACACTGGCCAGCCCAAGAGAAAAGACCTACAGACATTGGAGGGTCGTTAAAGAAAACTCAGAGCAGAACAGTAGGTAAAATGGTAAAAGCAGATTTAACCAGAAACGATAACAATAGGCGGGGAAAGACCTCATTTGGCGTGGCTCCGTGGTTGGGTGTTCCATTCTCCATCAGGGCACATGCCCGGGTGGCCGGTTCGATCTCTTTCCCTTCTTTTCTGAAAATAATAAAAATATATTTTTTAAGAAATAGAAGAGGGCTCAGTTCCGAATACAGCAGGCACACGTAGGGATTTACAGCCAAGGCGCAGGTGGGAATCAGTGTGGGAAATACTAAGTGGAAACGTCAGGGGGAGGAGGGATTCTGACCTGACAGGAGTCCTGCTGGAGGCAGGCCAGGATCCTCAGACATCAGGGGGAGGAGGGGCCAGAGGGATGAAGAATTTGATCAGATATTCGATATTCAGGGTTGGGCGTTAAACTGACTTAACAAGATTACTGCTAAAACTGGGCAACGCAGGGCTGGCTGGGATGGGATGGGATTAGTGGAGAAACAGTTCGGAGAAGCCTGGCTAAAATTTGATCAAGGAGAGTCTTTGTCAGGATTAAGTCACTAGAGATAGCTAATGAGATCCACCCATAGCAAGTCCCATTCACCCCCCAATCAGCTCGTGTGCCTCTCAGACACAATGATTACCAGATGTCAGAGGAAAACTGTAAACATCAAAGTCAAAGATCCACATTTTAAAAAATTAATTATTTAAAAAAATTAAAAACAGGAAGAAGGAACTCAGGGAGCCAAGGAATGCCTAAAACTTAAGAGGGTTTTTAAAGACAACTATAGTTTAAAATTCCACAAAGAAAACAATTTCATTTGCAATAGCATCAAAAGAATAAAATACTTAGGAATTAACTTCTGATCAATGTTGTGAAGGGAACATTGAACCCAGGGAAGCCAGGAGAGGTCAGGGAACTATTTCCCTAGAGCAGGGACATCTAAGCATTAGCCTGAAAGATGAACAGGCTAGAGGAGGAAGGGTGGGGCCAAGAGGGAACAGCATGTGGAAAGGACCTGAGGCGGGAAGGTGTTCAGTAGTTAGAGGACCTGGGAGGAGGCTAGCACAGGGGACGAGTCATACAGAGCTTTTGGGGCCAGTGTGACAGATTAGAGACCGTTTAGTTACCTAATACAAATTCTCCTAAAGCTCTGTGACTTCAGACAACAATAAATATTTATTATCTCACAGTTTTGGTAAGTCAGGAATTTGGGAGCAGCTTAGGGTCTCCCATGAGGTTGCATCTAGGCAAAAGATTTATACACTGAAAACTACAAAATGTTGCTGAAAGAAATTAAAGAAGCCACAAATAGATGGCAAGACATCTGTGTTCATGGATTGGAAGACTTCATATTCTTAAGATGTCAGTACTACCCAAAGTCATCTACAGATTTAATGCAATCCTATCAAAATTCCAATGGCATTGTTGCACAAATAGAAAAACCCATCCTAAAATTCAGATGGCATCTCAAGGGACCCTGAATAGCCAAAATACTCTTGAAAAAAGAACAAAGATGGTGTTCTCATACTTCCTAATTTCAAAACATATTACAAAGCTACAGTAACCAAAACAGTGTGGTAGTGACATAAAAAGACATACAAACCAATGGAATAGAATAGCGACAGAAACATGTGCTTGCATATATGATCAGATGATTTTTGTTGTTGTTGTTAATTCTCACCTGAGGATATTTTTTTATTGACCTTTCAGAGAAAGTGAAAGAGAGAGGGAAAGACAGAGAGAAACATCAATGTGAGAAAAACACATCAGCCCTAACCAGTTTGGCTCAGTGGATAGGGCGTTGGCCTGCGGACTGTGGGGTTCCGGGTTCGATTCCAGTCAGGGGCATGTACCTTGGTTGCTGGCACATCCCCAATAGGGGGTGTGCAGGAGGCAGCTAATCGATGTTTCTCTCTCATCAATGTTTGTAACTTTCTATCCCTATTCCTTCCTCTCTGTAAAAAAAAATCAATAAAATATATTTTTAAAAAACATTAAAAAAAATAAATTGGTTGCCTCCTGCACGTGCCCTGACCAGGGTCGGGGCAGGGAGGAGCCTGCAACCAAGGTACATGCCCTTGACCGGAATCAAACCCGGGACCCTTTAGTCTACAGGCCAACGCTCTATCCACTGAGCCAAACTAGCCAAGGTAAGTGATTTTGGACAAGGGTGCCAAAACCACTCTTTAGGGAAGAGACTGTCTTTTCAACAAATACTGTGTCACATACCAAAGAATGATGGTGCACCCTTACCTTACACCATGTACCCAAATAAACCCAAAATGGATCAAAGACATAAAAGTAAGTCCTAAACTATAAACTCTTAGGGAATAAAATATGGGGGAATTCTTCATGACATTGGATTGGCAGGGATTTCTTGAATTTGACACCAAAATGCAGACAACAAAAGTAGAAATAGATAAATTGGGCCACATCAAAACTGAAAACTTCTGTGCATCAAAGGACACAATCAACAGAATAAAAAAGGCAACATAAGAAACAGGACAAAATATTTGCAAATCATAAATCTGATAAGTGGTTAATATTCAGAATATATAAAGAACTCTTACAATTCAACAACAACAAAAAAGAAATAGCCCAATCTAAAAATAGGCAAAGGACTTAAATGGCCCTTCTTTCTAAAGAAGATATACAAATAGCCAACAAGCCCATTAGGTCACAGGAGGTCACGGTTCGATTCCCAGTCAGGGCACATGCCCGGGTTTCGGGCTCAATCCCCAGTGGGGGGCGTGAAGGAGGCAGGTGATCTATGATTCTCTCTCATCATTTATGTTTCTATCTTCCTCCCCCTTCCTCTCTGAAACCAATAAAAAAATGTATATATTCTTTTTAAATGTGCAACATCCCTAATTAGGGAAATGCAAATCAAAACCACAATCATAACCCTCAGGATAGCTACTATAAAAAAAGCAAACAAACAAAATAACAAGTGCTGGCAAGGGTATACGGAAATGGGAACTCTTGTACAATGTAAAATAATGCAGCAGCTATGAAAAACAGTATGGTGGCTCCTCAAAAAATATAAAATAGAATTACCATATGATCCAGTAATTCCACTTCTGGTTACATATCAAAAAACAACTGAAATCAGAGTCTCGGGGAGATATTTGTACACCCATGTCATCGCAGCATTACTCACAATAGCCAAAAGGTGGAAGCAGCCCAAGTGTCCATCAGCGGCTCAGTGGATAAACAAAATGTGTTATATACATACAATGGAACATTATTCATCCTTAAAAAGGAAGGAAATTCTGACATATGCTACAACATGGAGAAACATTGAGGACATTATGCTACGTGACATAAGCCAGTCATAAAAGGACAAATACTCTACGATCCCACTTATGTGAGGTATCTACAGTGGTTAAATTCATAGAGACAGAGGGTTAAATAGTGGTTGCCAGGAACAAGGAACAGGGAGAAATTGGGAGTTATTGTTTAATGGATGCAGAGTTTTGATTTTACAAGAGAAAAAGTTCTGAAGACGGGTTGCACAACAATTGAATATACTTAATATGAACTTAAGAATACACTTAAGAATAATTAAGGTGGTAAACTTTATGTGTGTATTTTATCACAATTACAAATCAAAGCAATTATAAGTAACATTCTTAGAGATAATATTATGTCCATGAACAAGAATAGGATGCTATAAAAAAAAAAGAACAAGAAATTGCTCTTAGAAGTGAAAAATTATGAGAAGAGATATGAAAAAATCTAATAAAAAAGTTGGAAGGTTAAGTGGAGGTAATGGCCCAGAAAATAGGACAAACATTTTTTTAAATGAAAAATTGGAAAGAACATTTTGAAGAATTAGAGTATCAATCCAAGAGGCCCAATATCCAACTAAATTAGAAAATAAACAAATCCAGAAAACAGAGTGGAGGAAATTAGCCCAAAGAAATGTCCCCACAATTGATTTCCAGATTAAAAGATATTGATTTTCAGACTAAAAGACCCACCAAGTGCTCAGAGTAAATGCACATCATCAGGAAACTTTAGACCTCTGGAAAATTCTAGAAACTGCCAGAGAGAAAAACTGGCTCACACATACATGATTAGGTATCTGAATGTCATTTGACTTTTCAACAGCAGCAGTGAATCATGTCCTCAGAATTCTGAGGGAAATTTATTTCCAATCCAGAATTCTACACCCAGCAGAACCATCAGTCAAAGCTACTGGACTACATGCTCTGCCCAAAACAAGGAAATAAATCAGGGCGGGGTGGAGGGGTGGGGCAAGGGATCCAGAAAACTGGACCCAGCCCAGGAAAAAGGCAGAGGAAATTCTTAGGGTGGTAGCAGAGCAAAATCCCAGGACAATAGCCACACAGGTCTATAGAGTAGTCCAGGTCGGAGCCCAGAGAGGAGGCCTCCAAGAGGGGTGCGTCTCTAAGAAACACGGAGACCTAAAGATCACCCGGTGAGTTCAACCAGGCTGACAGTCGGGAGATGAATTAGTGATAGGTCTGCAAAGAAGCTTTTGGTTTCTTTGATTACATACCAGGTACTTCTGGAAAAGTCAAAAAGTTGCCCATGAAAAAAGCTCCCAACTTTGCCTCAGCCATCACTACTTCATAGATTGGCGTGCAGCAGAATTTTTTTCTTTTTTCAATTTAATTTTTTTTTAATTTATATTAGTTTAAAAAGTCACACAGCTGATTTATAGGAGACACAATTCAAAATAACATTAATCTGCCTTAGCTGGTTTGGCTCAGTGGATCGAGTGTCACCCTGCGGACTGAAGGGTTCCAGGTCCGATACAGGTCAAGGGCACATGCCCGGGTTTGGTCTCCATCCCCAGTAATGGGTGTGTAGGAGGCAGCCTGTCAATGATTCACTCTCATCACTGATGTTTCTATCTCTCTCGCCCTCCCCTTTCCTCTCTGAAATCAATAGAAATATTTTTTAAAAATAAATAAATAAAATACATTAATCCTCTGCCCCACCCTTCTCCAGTCTCAGTTCTCATTTCCAAAGACAATTCTTCTACACAGTTTAGATGGCACTTCTGTCATATGTTCTTAAATAACACTTCTAATTCAGATTTCCCCCTTTTTAAGACAGGACCTCCCTGCTATGGAAGATGA